ACACCTCATGCCCCTCCTGCTACCCCTCGTTGTCTCCCCACCGACTGGCCTGCTGTTGGATCTCTTCTTAAACATCGGGATCAACAAATCGGCTCCATACTGGTTACGGGGGAAAATACCTGCAGCTTGACGCCCCAGCAAAAACCAAAGCGTGTCCTCATTCGGCTCAAGCTGCAACTGCACAAAGTGGGTGAACCCCATGTACCAACCATCCCACTTCGAGCACCACTTGTTGAATTCTGGTCTCAAATTCTCCTTGCTGATCATCCGCTTGAGATATATCGGCAGCTTTTTCTTGCCTTGTAGCACCTTCAAGAATTGCTGCACCGGTACAAATTGCCCGATCGTGTGGCACCACTGGGAAAAGTCTTTGTCCCCCATCACACACGTGTCCATCGCCAGAAGCAGCAAAATCCGAGCAACCATCTCGCCAATTTCGCCAACTCCACCGGTGTCCAATGATTCATCCAAAAGGAGGTTCTTGAGTTGCGGCAGGATATACTTTGCCAGACCATATTTCAGTTCATACCACACTTTCATCGCTCCTAAGGCGAGCACTGGGTCCGAAGCGTAGCTGGTGACGTAACCCTCTCGTTTGAAGTTCACATACGCGAGAATCGCCATGAAGTCAGCGGGGGCCCGAGATGCCAAAGCCGACGTCGAATGCGGTCGAACACCCAGTCGACAAAGCATGGAGGCGACACCAAACATGGTATCCTTGTTGTACGCATTTTGCGAAGGGGGAATCCCCAGTAGCAGTTTATTCGCCGCGAGATCAATCACGCGAACTTAATGAGCTGGATCGGGGTAAGTGCTGTACCACATCGGGCGGCCCATGCGCCTCAACGCCTCCCAGGCCTGACCGTCACTTCCAGTTACGACGGTCTTGTACATGGCTATCGTAGCACGTTCTTGCTGTTTCGTTTTCTCTTCGTCTTCAGCTCCCACCTCAACTTGGGTTCCCTCGTTTATCTCTTCATCTTCAAAGTAGTCATCCCAGTGTGCGTCCATCGTATCAGCTAGTACAAGCGGCGCGAACGATGCCAAACTACCTCCAGATTTCCGAGAAGATGGGTCCAACAACAGAGGCGGCGTCAGGTCCGAGATCTGCGAGTTCGTATCAATCAGCACGCCGAAAATGCCTCCTTCGGGCCCGATATCTTCGTTAGCGGATTTAAGAGCATTTCGCAACATACGAAAATCGTTCTTCTTGCCATCCACCTCAGCCAGCAGACTTCTCGCTTCATCGATCACCAGAACCACCATTTTGCCATCTGGATCCTTCACGGTGGAGGTACCCGTAGTTTGGATAAAGGTGTCCTGTACGGATGCTGAATCGGACGCCTTTATCATTTCTGTTTCTTTCAAAAGCTTGGCCGCACACGGAACTGTCAGTTGCATTGTCGATAAAGAGCTCCAGCCATTCCGTCTGAACGTCCGCCCAATGATCTTTCGCATAGCAGTAAATCGCCTTCAATCGCCTGGCGACCTCTTGCACTGAGGAGGCGGCAGGGTCAAACAGCCAATCACGAAGCTTACTCGTAGCCTCCGGAAACCCCGTCGATCGGTGCACACGCGCGCACATGTACAAAACTTTCAGGTTCAAGTTCGGTTCTCGTTCTGCCTTGAGCGCAAGCTCACGCACTGTCCGACTCTTGCCGAAGCCGGAACTCTGCACAACCGCCACACATGGCGCCTTGTACTTGTGCAGGGTTGTACTCTTTCCAGCAGTCCCGCAGGTATTCTGCGAGGTCGTCTTGGGCCTTGCCGACGTACGTGACTTTAACGCATCCGAGAGTCGAATCATTTCGTCTTCACCCAGCTTGGTGATGAGGGGGTTGTCTTCCGGAACAAACTTTGCCAGGAGGTCTTCAATCGTCTTGACCGTAATGGTTTCCGCAAGATCGACCGTCACGTCTGGGTGCTCGTATACGATTCTAATCTTCACCTCCAAGCATCCCTTAAATTCTTTCTGAGAGACCCGGAGTCCCGCGTCGCGATATTTTTTCAAATACTCATCGATGCGAAGAGGCTTCTTCTCCAGTGCTCCCTCGTTGCCTTCCTTCGCGTCCCCCAGTTTCGCGCTCAACTGAGTGAAGACGCTGTCGTCCACGAATGCGGCTATCTCCTCGACTCCAGGCTGGAGATCCGACTGGCTCGCCATGTCCAGCAGAGCGGCAGTGTTGACTTCTCTTTAATGTAGACCACATATTCGCTTTAATTGGACATAATCACTATGTAGTTTCTGTTTTTATTGGACAAAAGTATTTAGGCGCACATCTCGCCAGGTTTATTATAATAACACATATTGTACTTTTTGGCACTTCAGACTGTATTTGTGCTTTGCAATGATTTTGGCAATATGAGGCGAGATTTGCTGTATTATTACGACCACCTGCTAGATTTACGATAAATCGAGGTGCGTAAATGGGTGGAGGCCTAGAATTACGCTCAAAGCGCCATAATTGCACTTTCAAAAGTGCAATTGTGGCTGTGCAGCTGCAATTCTGTCGGTTTTTATCCACAAGCACCTACACACACGGCAATTATGCATAAGAGGGTGGATGTGCTGGGGATCATGGACGGTGGTGTACTGGGCCAATGCATGGCTGCTGACAGGCCCTCCCAAGTCGATATATATATGAGGAGGTGGATTTATGCATAATTTTAGCAGGCCGTGTATCTTCTTTCACACATATTTAGGAGCAGGCTTTGCCATATTTAGCGTCTAAAATGGTCGGCAAAATAACTGCAAAGCACAATAACTCGTACGACTTATCGAGCACGACTATAAATCGTACTCGAGTACGAATTGCTGTAAGTCGTGGATGGTCAATCACTTGTGTCGAGCATTCGTAAGACAGTTTGACGACAAATCAAATGTAGCAATTTCATTGGTTAATATTGTATTTTGTAGTTTTGAGTGTTGCTGCATCTCGGCTCGTAAATTGGACTGATTCATCTGTGTGCGCATTTTGCCCCCTTTACTAGAGGCAGCGCACTTGAAAAATGTCCGGGCTTTTGATCCTGACGCCATGCACTAACCTCCTGCTAGAAGATTTAAATATACTTGCCAGGAATGGAATGTAAGGACATCATAGCACAGTTATCATACGACCGTTTGTTCCCGTAGTGGAGCAATGTTTCTTCGCTTTACTGGGGTGAACGACTGTTGTCGTTCACCACTGTTGTCGTGAACGACTGTTGTCGTTCACCCCACCACGCCAACTCTCCTTTCTACAGTAAAGTACTAACACTACATAGAAGATGGAGATTCGGATAGAGGGCGCATACGCAAACCAGTCTACGCTGTAGCATCGACAAAAAGCGTGGCTGCAGGCAGTGGCTTAGTTGCAGGAGATACCGAGTAACTCGCCGATGCCGAAGGTCGAGCCCAGCAGCGATATGGCGCGCGCCGAGCGCCCGCGCAGCAGTGTGGAGCTCCTCCGCACCTCAGCGTCGTAGGTACAATATCTAGGTGTTATCGCCGTTGCAGAGTACGTGGTTGCATTTTGTTGCTGGACTGTAATGATTAGGTAAGAGGGGGTCGGAGGATCTCGGGAAGCCCACTGGCAACACCGTTCCCTGGCTGCCTCGCCTTCAGAACTACTATGATGTACGCTCAAGCATAAAAATTACTACATTAAAATGTACATGTAGTACCGTTACGAGCTATTTGTCCCTCTTAGTCTACGTCTACAAACTTCATCGTAACTCCGTGCCCTTCAACGGCTGCACCTCTGAGTGGAACAGCTCCACGGACTGCATGCACGCGTTCGTGCAGTCATTATGCCGATATTTAAGCTTGCTGCCAGCGGCCAACTACAGGCACATCGCTTCGTGTGTGAACAGGAGGCTACTTACCCTACCGCATCATGCAACTGCATCGTTTCGGCGCTCAACGTTGCCGCTGTCGTGGCGAGCAGACCTGAACATTTTTGGCCAATTGTATGGCGCAAACTAGTGTCCGACAAACTGTCTTATGTTTTGACAGACAATATGCAATGTAGCCACTGGTATACAACAACCAAGATGTAGTCAAAACGCGTTGATCGGAAAACGTAAGACGCTTTGTCTTATGATAGGCATTCTGGGGCTAAGTATCGTCTTACGAAAGAGTATGAATCAGCACTAGGAGCATCTCCACCGGTCGTGAGTAAAACTAAATTTTACCCCTTTTCTGTCAATATTTAATCATAGTTTTAGTTTTGTACAGCTCCACCGGTTTGAGCAAATGCTGAGCAAATTGCTCCATTTTTTACGCAGATCAACGTTTTGCACAACTTTGCCAACGGAGGAGGCTTTGAGTAAAAGGTTGAGTACATGTAAATGTCGACCGACCAGTAGTAGGGCCAAGTCAAGCGTTCTAAGCAGCGCAAGCGTCACAGACCGCAGTGTCGCCCTTGCTACGTCATCCCTGGGTCTTCCTCAACGTGCTGCCGGGCCCTTTATAGGGCTATACAGCTGTGCGCCGTCGCCATGGCTGGCACCGAACCAAGAGCTTTAACGCGCTTGCTGCGAGTCTCAATTGCCGGTGGAGCTGCGCACTGTCTTTAGCACGGTTATGCCGTTGTAGGCACGGATCTTAGGGCAATTTGCTTTTAGTTTTACTCAGCACCGGTGGAGATGCCCTAATAAGTAGTGCGCATATGGAGGAATTAAGTAATTCAAGTAGATTGAAGAATTTTTGTAAAAGTCTAAGTAGGTGAATGCATCAACTTGCAAGTAGATTGCCACAGTCAAAAATAACGTTTTATCAGAACTTGAAAACGCGATAAGAATTAAGGACAGGGTAAGATATGAAGATGATGGAGGACGAGCAAACGGAACATCAGCGATAGCAAAATAAGTAGGTGCCTCATTATTGAAAACATCATGGTGCCAACTGCCCCCTGTGCAACACCAACTGGGCTGTCTCAAGTCTGCGGCAGCTCGTTGGCAAGCGTGCGTGCCTGGAAAAGCGGTACCCGATCCTAAAGGCTCAGCGACTGGAAAAGGCCCGAGCCTACAAGCGCGAGTACGATAAGCTGTACCACCGCGCTCGCCGTGACGCGCTTAACGAGCTTGACCTGCGTATCATCACTACGGCCGCAGGTGACGTGACCACGACTGTTGTTGAGTCGCTCGTCCTGTCTGTGCCTGGGGACATTGAGTTAGGGGGTTCAACAACAGCTCAGAGCTCACCTCCCCGCTCTGCTCGACGACGTCGTGTTTTCTCGGCACCAGCTTTCCCAACGGTGATCGACATTACGGGGGAGGAGGACCAAGACGAGGACCTATCAACTTGCGCCATTTGCTAGTACGCGCCAGTGGCGCCGGTCACCCCGCGCTCATGCTGACATGCCATGTGTGCCGAGTGCATGTCAGTGTACGTGGCGAGAAGCATTCAGGCCGAAGATGTAGCTAACTGCCCTACGTGTAGAGTTCCCATTCGGATGTAGCCATCCGGCTAGCCATACAGCTTTATTTTCTTCATTTTTGAGTAATTAAAAATATTTTTTCACGTTATTTTGATGAAATGGTCTAAGCAGCAAATGATAATAAATTTGTTGTATATACTTCTTTCATTTACATTGAGTTAGTATCAATAATAGCGCACAAGAACGAGTTGTATTACTGGGAAGTAAAGTCGTACGATCGTGCGAATTGTTGCTATGGAATACCAATTTTCGTCAAGTCACAGTAAGCATCAAAGTAACACATTCGTACGATATTACAGATATAATATCTTTCACTTAAGTTTATCCTTGCAGTATATTATCTATCCTTGAACTATCACGTGTATAATACTTTCCTTCGATCCAAGTTCTATTAAAGGTAAATAAGAATTTTATGATATCATTTTCGTACGAGAAGAATTTTAAGAAAACCAAGGTCCGTTCTCGACGTATTGACACTAAGAATTCGAAATGTAATTTTTGCTTTGTTATGCTTTTGCAAAGACTTACGACTCTACTGCATACGTCTTGCAGCTCTAGTATTATTGAGTCATAGCAACGGCAGGCGACGCCGCAGAACCTGGTCGTGCAGACCTGCGTTTGTTCTTCGGCTTTGGACCCGGCTTCATGCCACGCTTCCCTAAGTCAGCTTCAGTGACGATGACTTCAGGTACTAGCAGTTGAAGATCCTGAGCGATGGTCGCCGAGCGGACGGTCGGGACAAACTGGTAGTAATATGTCCGCCGCGCGACCGACACGGTGTGTTCCTTCCAGGCGAAAAGCTCGCTCACGTGCATTCCGTGATGAATTGCAGCTTTGACTGCATGGACACACGGGAACATCAGGTCTTGCCAGCGTCGGCACGTTGCATTCCTTCTCGATCAAGTTCACGGTTCGCCACAGATGGGCGTGGTCCGGTCTGCTGCTGATGTCCGTGAATCGCACCATGTACTGGCCATCAAGGCACGGCAAAATCTGCAGGGTTTTCGTAAGAGCCATGATCCCGTCGAGCTTCTTCTTGTAGGTGGGAAGGAGAAAGTCCGAGAAGGCTGCAGGGGTGGTCCTCATCACGTCAATTTCGCAATCGTCGTACGGCTCACCTTGGGAGGTGCTTGCGTGTCCTGCGTTGCTACCTGGACCCTTCTGTCGCGAGGAGGTGCGGCGCCTTTCGGCGAACAGCTCAACCACCTTGACGAAGTATTGCTCGAAAGCTTCCAAGGGGTAGGACGACCGCACTGCATTGCCCAACCAACTGTTCGCTGCCTCGGACAGGTTGGAAGTGACCTCGTCATAAGAGGGTTGGTTGTACTTCTCGTTGAACGCGTATGTCACCCAGTGCGACTTGTCAATTCCAGCGAGATACTCCACAGCCAAAGGGCGAGTCTCCGAGAGTTTTGAGCTGTAAAACTTGTAGTCGTTCTCGCATTCGCTACGTGCCATCTGAAACACAAGTGACTGTTCTGCCGGCGTCAGCGCGGAGCCCTTCTTCTCGATGTGGGTGATAATGTGCCCAACGCAAAATCGATGTCCGGAATCCAGATACAACTCCGTCACAGACGCCAGGAGATCCTTCTGTCTGTCCGATACGAACACAGGTTTCCACGCCGAGACGTCTTGAAGCGCGTCTTTCATGTTCTGCAGGAACCAGCTCCAATGCGTAATCCTCTTGATCGACAATAGCGAGTCCGAAAACTAGGATGTGGCTGTGGTGTAGCGGGATCGGCCA